TCGGAGTACTCAGTGAGTGATCTTGAGGGCCGAGCAGACGAAGTCCTCGATAAGGTTATACAGTGGGGAACACTAAACAAGCTTCGCTTCGCCCCCCACAAGACCAACGCCATGGTAGTCACTAAAAAACTCAAAAACGCAACCCCTACAGTAAGAATGTCTGGTACAAGAGTAGACATAGTAGACAAAATAAAAATTCTAGGTCTCACCATAGACAACAGACTCACCTTCAAACACCACGTTGCAGCAGTCTGCAAAAAGGCAGCAGATATATATAAACAACTGGCTTGTGCAGCGAGGGTGACCTGGGGTCTCAACGGTGAGATAACCAGAACGATCTACGTAGCAGTCATAGAGCCTATAGTGATGTACGCCTCAAGCGCATGGTACCCAGCAACAGAGCTGCAGATGGTCAGAAAACAACTTGACACGCTGCAGAGGGGCTTTGCACTAAAAATCTGCAGGGCGTATCGCACGGTTTCGCTCAATTCCGCAATGGCCATCTCGGGCTTACTCCCACTCGACCTGAGAATCAGGGAATCAGCCTACCTCTACAAAACCAAGAGGAGAAAGCTGACAGATTACCTCCCCCCCGGGAAAGAGCTAGAGCAAACACCGCATCACTTGAGCTCTCCACATCCCTCCCAACTCACAAGAGTAGAGTATACCCTACTGGAAGACGAACCAACATCATCTCACCAAGTATCCGGCCCTCAAATCTATACCGACGGAAGTAAAATAGAAGAGAGGGTCGGTGCAGCCTTAACCTGGTGGAACGACGGTAAGGAAACCCAACACGCCACCTTCAAGTTGGACTCCTTCTGCACAGTCTTCCAGTCGGAGCTACTCGCTCTATTACGGGCAACTCAGTTAGCTAAATTATCCACGGAAACAGTGGTAAACATCTTGAGTGACTCAAGATCCTCACTCGAGCTACTGAGTAACCCAAAGGTGAGTCATCCCCTAACACAAGAAATTCAAAAGTGTATAGGGGAAATCCAAAAACAAGGAAGAACCGTAAGATTGTTCTGGATAAGGGCACACATTGGCACACCCGGAAACGAGAGGGCGGACGAGCTAGCAAAAGCGGCGGCCTTACAGGACAGCGCAGAAATGGACTACGACAAAGTCCCTCTGTCATATGTCAAGAAAAAGATCAGGGAGGAAACTGTCTGCATTTGGCAGGACCGTTACGGAACCTCCGGTACCGCGTCGGTAACAAAAAAATTCCTTCCGAACATTGCTAACGCATACAAAGCAATGAGGAAGGTTAAACCGACGCCGACTTTGGTACAAATCTTGACGGGGCACGGTGGACATGCGGAGTACCTTCACAGATTTAGGCTAAAAGACAGCCCTAGCTGTGAATGCGACCCTGATGTCAGTGAGTCCATATTCCACATCTTGCTGGAATGCCCTCGCTTTACAAGGGCTCGTCTTAACCTCGAGTACAAACTAGGGATCTGCCTAAAATCCTCAGAACTTCACTCACTAATGGACGAGGAAACAACAAGGGAACTTTTCCTAAATTACGCCGCAACAATCTATCAGACGGTAACAAAAAGGAACAAGACCATAGATGCACCCACCCAAACAATAAGCCAAAACGTAAGTCAGTCGAGTAACAGAGAGCAAATCAAAACCCAAAATCCAAGCCACCAAGCCACCATAAAAAGCCTGCTAGACAACGGAGTTGTGGGAAAACCGGGATTAAGGACCCGAGGAGTGGCGCTCTTCATGGACAACAACACTGAACGCCTAGGAATAAGCTTTTGTGTGGCCACTGGCAACAAATATATCTCCATCTCTCCCGGACTTGCATCCCTGCTGAATGGCAGCACGTTCAGAACGAGCATGAGACGCAAACACTATGACGCGTTGATGGAGGTGACTGTCGCAGACCAGAAGTGCCGAATACTAAGAACTAAAGGCAAAATCGTCTTGTTATTCGCATGGAAGGAGGACAAAACCCCATTCACACAAGCATGCTCACTGCTGTCACAGCTGGGAGGGAGGGAGAAGGACGAAGAAGATACGGTCCCCCGCGTTATAAGCGTGGACGCAATGCACGTCCTACATGAGGAAGGCATGGTGGCCGATCGCATCGGCTGTGTCAAAGCCTCAGAATGTCATGAGGTCGTCGTGTACGAGAACAGAGGAGAAAACCTCAACTATCTCCTCAAACACGACTTCACAGCTGCAGCCACTTATGTCGACTGCTGGGGACATCCCATTGCAAATCCAGAAACGCAAAGCGGGTCAGACCGTCTTCAAGAAAAAATAGCCAGTGAAGCTCGGGCACGGGAGACTCATAAAAATGGAAAAAAAAAGAGAGGCAAGTCCCTTGCTTGAGGCACTCAGCGCCGCAGCAAAAAAACATCGCGGAAATAGCCCATTCAAGCAGGCGCAAACTTAATCAAGCAGGGGACACAACAAGAGCCATACTGGGCAGTCCATCAAGAGCTCCACCAAAAAGACCATACTGTAAGATCCAGCCACCCAGAACACCCGGGAAAATAAATATACATCCACCACCTCTAAAACAACCAACAGGACTTAGAGACCACATGTTGAACGCCTTCCTAGAGTACATAGCCCTAATAAAAGCAACATCACAAGCGAACCTCGCAAAGTGCAAGGATATCTTGCACACTTACCACCTTGGAGTCGAGGAATTGCTAAGGGTTAAACTTGAGGAGGCTGAAGCCGCCATATACGACAACAAAACATCCAATGTCGTATGTGGCAAAATGGCTGACAATTACATGGTGGCATACTGCGAGTCTGCTGGCTTTGTGCCTATTATGGAGAAAGAAACGGAGAAAAGAGGAAAAAAAACCGGTGTTTGCGACTCCGCCAGGTGACCACATAGTTGTGACTGCCCGGTGCACCAAGGTTATGTTAGACGATAGGATCCTGGCAACAGCCGAATCAATAATGGAAACTGTCGAATCGACGAATCCTTGGCGCAACTGGGACACACCAGAAATAACCTGGGTAAACGGGGTTCCAGGCTGTGGTAAATCAACATGGGTCGTAAACAATGTCGACGCGGCAAGCGACTTGGTGATCACCACAAACACAGAAGCAGCAAAAGACCTCAAGTCGAAGCTAGCCAACCGCATAGGTGCCGCCGCAAACAACATGGTGCGCACAATGGCCTCGGTATTGGTGAATGGCGTGAAGGAATCAGAAAAGGGTAAACTTACTCGACTCCTGGTTGACGAAGCGCTAATGAACCACTTCGGAGCCACAATAATGGCAGCTAGACTGTGCGAGGTAAAGAAAATCATGCTCATTGGTGACATCAATCAACTGCCATACATTGACAGAGACACACCTCTTCCCAATGCAGTATACTCGGCCGAATCAAATCGCCTCTATAAACAAAGAACTGAGGTGCACACATAGGAATCCCATGGATGTAGCGTACGCCCTCAGAGAGATCTACAGCGGCGTATACTCTTCCAGGCCTCAAGTGCACTCCCTGCGCCGCGAAACCTTTGCTGGAGCCAACATACCAAAAAACTCCCCAAACACCTTATATCTAGTGTACACTCAACGGGAGAAAGAATCCCTTAAGAACCAGGGATTTGGCTCTGGCACGGGATCGCGAGTCCTAACCATCCACGAAGCGCAGGGATTAACTCAGGTTTCGGTGGTGATAGTAAAGACACAGGCAACAAAAATCAAACTCCATGAGAGTGTGCAACATGCAGTGGTAGCTGTATCAAGACACACTGCAACCTGTGTCTATTACGCTGATGACTCCAGTGACGCTTTGGGAAGATTCATAGGCGAAGCCACGAGCGCTGGAAGCAAAGCTATACTGGATTATAATTTAAAAATGGCAATCCGAGACAGGAACGCAGCGGTTACGGACAGCCTAGCTAAATTTAAGATCAAAGAGAGCCCTGCCGGCTCTTTTGGGTAACTGCATGGCATTCGGAAGTCTCGGAATGCACGTAGCATAAGGACTAGAATAATTATATACATATATTGTAATACTCCTTGTAGCACTCTTGTATAATTTAAAAAAAAAAAAAAAAAAAAAAAAAAAAAAAAAAAAAAAAAAAAAAAAAAAAAAAAAAAAAAAAAAATACTAGCATATAAGTACAATACTAAGTATAACATATAAATTATATAACAAAAAAAAAAAAAAAAAAAAAAAAAAAAAAAAAAAAAAAAAAAAAAAAAAAAAAAAAAAAAAAAAAAAAAAAAAAAAAAAAAAAAAAAAAAAAAAAAAAATAAGAAGAATTATACCAAATAATTACCTTAATATTAGAGTAAGTTAAATAAGTAAAAATGTAACAAATACTAGCATATAAGTTCACTACTAAGCATAACATATAATTTATATTAAAAAAAAAAAAAAAAAAAAAAAAAAAAAAAAAAAAAAAAAAAAAATTATCCTCACTGCTGTAGCTGTAACTTTTAGTTTTAGTTGATGTAATTAAGAGAGTACGCAACAACGCTGTATTAATAAAATTACGCAAGTTTTTAAAAAAAGGTACGGACCAAGTGTCTGTAGAGTAGAATTTATTAAAAAAAAAAAAAAAAAAAAAAAAAAAAAAAAAAACCTAACCTAACCTAACCTAACCTAACCTAACTTAATTTTAAGTGCTAACTGATCACTAACCTGTTAAGAGCTAATTTTAACAAATCATATGAAAGTGCTATTTATTCATTTATTTAGTTGCTTTAAATTTATTTAAGTGCTAATATAGTTACGTACGGGGATGGGATATCATTTAAGTATTTAAGGAAGATAAATAATATAACAGATAAATAATATAACAGATAGAAAATAACAGATCATTACTTTAATCCGAGTTGAAGATTCAATTCTAGTTTAGCGTCACTTTGAGCTTTAGTAACTTATTATTCAATACTTAATGTGAAATTAAGTTGTGAGCTAATTTGTGACTTATTAATAAGCTAAATGTTTTGGAAACGTTAAAACTTTAGCAGACTTATTTATTAAAACCGATATGAAAAGGATGGCGCCATCGACTTTTTTTGAATCTGAAGGTTTGAGTAGTTTTAAAAACACGAGGTATAGTATATGAACAGTAACGAAGAGATTGTCCCCGAACAATAGGTAATCTGGATTTTACGGAATAATGAAAGGCAAATTTCACGTGAACGTGTATTTATAATGTGATCATATTATGCGGATCAGGCCAGGGCGAGCCGCAGCGCGTCCAAGTGACGGCGGCGGCGCGCGGCGAGGCGGCAGCGGCCCAGCAGCGCCTGCGCCGGCCCGCACGCGCCGCGCGCGCTCTCCGCCAGCCGCGCGCCCATAGGCCCCTCCGCTATCACGGTCTCGGTGGCCTACCTCCTCTGCGAATCGCACGGTGCCTTACTCACAGATGGACGGAATCAAATTAAGCAAAGTAACCGTGTATGTCTCACTGCTGGACAAAGCCTCGCACCACAGAGGTTATCAGGGAATAATTCACCACGCGGCTCCACGGCGGATTGACGGATTTCACATAACTTCGAAACATGTTTTTGTTATTTTTTCATAATATATGCAGGTTCCCTCACGATGTTTTCCTTCACCGCCGACGTGATAAATCAGCGCTTAAAATTAACAATTTCATTGGTGCCAGCACCGGGGTTCGAACTCAGGTTGCTCGAGTACATAGAATTAAAAGCGAGCGCCCATACTAGGACATACTAACATACTAAGACTATCACGGATCAAAGTATTTTGTGATTTCTCCTTGATAACATAACTTGGATCGCAAATTCTGTTATCGGATAAAGTGGAACTTAAAAGACACAACTTTCATATAGATATTTATGACTTAAAGGGAAAATTAAACTTGTCGCCCCTTAGGAAAATATAGTGTGGCGCGATGAACATAACATTTTTCTTGTGGTTTTGTATTTATACGTACATGTAATGTGTATTCTTTGCTTATAACAAAGTTAATATTGACGTACCGCAGAACCGCGGGAACGGTAGCAGAGGCAGATGCGAGCAACGCTCGTCGACCACCCTGAGGAGGTGCCGTCCCCCTCCCGCCCCAGCGCCCTCCTCCCCGTGCCACACCTCCACGCGCCCCACGCATCGCTCCCCGCACGAATACGACACCGAGTAGCGCCACGACGTGTAATTGCCAGACTCCTCCTCCACCGACCACGAGTAACTACATCAGCAGGAAACCATGAATTTAAGTTATTTTTAGCTACTTACTTGAGTGTTACAAGCTAACAAAAGCAAAATAGCTACACCGTAATTGATCTTCGATTTCGTGTTCGATTCGCTCTTGACTTATCGAAGCCGAAGATTTTAAAGAAAGCAATCTGAAGAAAAAAAATAATTGATGAATCGTAGCCAAGTAACGTGTAAGATCATCTCAGTACTGACATGTCCGGGTAGAGTTTGGGATAGTTGGAGAAGTCCGCGAGGAAGTGGGCAAGGGCTCGCGGCGAGAGGCGCGGGAAGTCGGCGGAGAGGCGCGAGTGCAGCGGCACGCGCAGCACGAGCGCGGCGCCCAGCACCAGCGCCAGCGCCACCGCCCGCCGGCCCCCGCACCACCGGGAGCCCCTGGTGCGCATCGTTCCCTCGCCTGCCTGCTGCCATTCACGAGCGGTCAATTTATCCCAGACACGAAAACTGCCTCACAGTGTTCACTTGATGATTCCAATGCCAACTTACAGGAGTGTAATACAACAGGAGTGTACAATTATAAAAAAAAAAGTTGCCAGTACTGTCACGGGATGCCAGTCAGATGTGAAACATTTTAGTGAATACCAGCTGCTGCCCGCGACATACATAAAAATATGTAGGTATAAAAATTATAGCCTATGCTTATTCTGATGTATAAGCTATATTATTGTAGTTACATTAAAATCCATTCATTTGTATTTGCGTGAAAGAGTAACAAACGTCCATCTATACATAAAAACTTTCGCGTTTATAATAATAGATTCAATTTCTAATTAATAAAATCAAATATCAATTATGTTTTAAAGAAAATTACATAATTTTATTAAAACTGAAAATTTTACCGATTTATCGATTTTTTTAGATATATCCACCCAGGCCGATAATGATATTTTTACAAATACCGATATAATATTTCTTCACTTTCGGCATCCCTATTGACGAGTATCAAAGATAATAATATAGATAACATTAAACAATTTGATTTTTTATTGAATCTGTGAAACGATCACAAAAACAAAACATGATTCTGATTATTTATCGTTGCATTCGAAACAG